ACTGTAGTGTCCAGTGTGTCTGTATTAACCCCTCTCTCTCAGTGCAGTGTTAATGGACTGTAGTGTCCTGTGTGTACTAACCCCCCCTCTCTCTTTCAGTTGGCTGGTTGTTAAAGACTCATTTCTCCTCTACATGAAGCCGGAAGCAGGGGTCATCTCTTTTGTGCTGCTCTTTGACCCGGAGTTCAAAGTTCAAGTGGGCCGCTGTTACACCGATACAAAGTATGGAGTGTGTATCCAGAACTTTACCAGGTACTTTACTTTGTATGCACTAACATAGTGACATACTAACACACACTGGCACTCACTGTCTGACACTTAACACAGGTAGAACTTGACACGGTGTATCAAGACTAGGAGTGCTCTCTGTCGGTGCTCAGTCTGTGTGTGCACTGACACACCCTGTGCACATATGAGTCGTCTCTCACTGCTCAGCCGAGTCTGTGCACTGTTTGTGTTGACTTTGTCACTCTGCTGCCCCCTGCAGGACACTGGTCATCAAGTGCAGCAGCTACAGGCAGGCGCAGTGGTGGAGCCATGAGATCCACAGGCTGTCGGAGCCCTGCGAATTCCTGCAGACACACCGGTTCGACAGCTTCGCCCCGCCCCGCGAGGACACGCTCGCCAGATGGTGAGAGATCAGTGAAGGGGAGGCGGAGAGAGGGACAGTAGTAGTGGGTATACAGATGACCCATCGGTGGTGTGTGGTGGTGTGTGAGGGTGTTGTTTCCGATGGTGGGGTGTGTTTCATAGGTGTGTGAGGGTATTTTGTGATGGTGTGGGGTGTGTCAGTGGTGTGCGTGGCTGTGGTGTGTGTCAGTGGTGTGCAATTGTGTGGTGTGTGTTTCCGATGGTGGGGTGTATTTCATAGGTGTGTCAGGGTATTGTGTGATGGTGTGGGGTATGTCAGTGGTGTGCGTGGCTGTGGTGTGTGTCGGTGTTGTGTGTGATGGCGTTGTGTGTGTCAGTGGTGTGTGATGGCCTAGTCTGTGTTAGAGATGTTTTGTCAGTGGTGTGCGTGGCTGTGGTGTGTGTTGGTGGCGTGTGAGGGCATTTTGTGCGATTGTATGTATGTTAGAGGTGTTTGTCATTGGTGTGTGTGGCTGTGGTGTGTGTCGGTGGCGTGTGAGGGCATCGTGTGCGATTGTGTGGTGTGTGATGGCGTTGTGTGTATTGGCAGGTACATCAATGGCAGGGAGTATTTTGCTGATGTTGCCCAGGCTCTGGAGCAGGCGAGAGAGGAGATCTTCATCACAGACTGGTGGTGAGTGAAGTCACTCTTTCTTCATGCTGTACTCTGCATGCACTGCTCACTGTTTACTGTGCAGCACTCTCATACACAGGCTGTCACTGGCCTGACGGTGTCGGTCAGTGTGCTGGTCAGTCTCACTTCCTTCCTCTGGCCTCTCCAGGCTCAGTCCTGAGATCTACCTGAAGCGCCCAGCTACCAGCCACTACTGGCGCCTAGACCAGATCTTAAAGCGGAAAGCGGTAAGAACTTCTGGGGTCACACTGGGGTCAGGCTCTGGGTGGGGTCAGGCTCTGGGACAGACTGGATTAGACGCTGGGACAGTTTTATTATTAGGCTGGTGTGGGGTCAGATTGGGGTCTGGGTTGGACTGGGGTCAGGTGCTAGGACAGGCTGGGGTCAAACTGGTGTTGGGGTCTGGGTTGGACTGGGGTCAGGTGCTCGGACATACTGGTGTTGGGCTCTGGGTCGGACTGGGGTCAGGTGCTAAGACAGACTGGCGTTGGGCTCTGGGTCGGACTGGGGTCAGGTGCTAAGACAGACTGG